CAATTAGCACCATCAAACTAGTTCCTTCTCTAGGAATCAATGAGTTCCTAAATCACTCAGTGGTTTTTCCCTCTCCAAAAATGAATAATAATGCCAAATTTGCTGGTTTGTGAAAAGGATTAATTAGGTCACAATTGTAATGATAATAATTGCCTTGCAAGCTTTAAGTAAAGGTGCTATTTCTAGAATTTTGCCATTCAGTTCAGGAAATAAATATCAGATTTCACAATAACAAAGTTTTTTCCCTTGGTAATTAATAAGTAATTTGTGGGTAAAATTTGGAGATGCAAATAAAGTTAAATGAGCCAGGATTTGAAATCTGTTTCCTTCATCACATGCCTCCTTTCTCTCCTCTCTCTAAACAAAGCACACCTCAACTTTCGATCATGGTGTTCTTCAAGGTTTATTTCTGGATTATTTGTTTATCTGTAACTCACTTTATTATCAGTAGATCTCACTAGGAAAATGACCTTACATTCTCAAAAATCCTCAAGTCCAGTTTGGAGCTTCTACATTATCTTTGGTTCAGTGTCTCTTGTCTGAAACGTAGCCCTACTCACACATACCAACAACTGCAAGATAACCTGTCTGGAACAAAGTATCATTGAACACCAAATTCTTTTTCCATCTTAAATTCTCTTTTTGAAAGTGCTCCTATTTCCTCCTTTTCCCCAGACTAGAAGCATGGATAATTTTCATCCAAGTAGTTAATATGTTCCTTTTGTGTAAGCCAGACATTTTAGTCTATTGCCAAGTCCTGCCACTTCAATAATCTGTTTTTCACTACTAGTCAATGAGTGTCCCTCAGGAGCAGGGACAGGTCTTGGCTTAACAAATGTTTGCTGAATAAATGAATGATTGGATAATCTTTCTTGTTCCCCAACATCCTTATTCTCACTGCTAAGCTTGAGTTCACATTGACACTGAAGGTTGGACACGGAGTAGCTCCTGCCACTCTCCTTCCACGCATCAGTCAATCAAGTTCTTTGGGGGCTGCTTGGGACACCTTACATTAAGATGCACTTTTTATTACTTTGCCATTATATTTCACACATTTTTCAGACTATTTCACACCCCTCCTCAGAAACTTAGTTTCTTCCCAAATTAAATGAGAACTTTGAGTTGCAAAAGATTTCATTAAGTGGGTTTTCTCTTTTCCAGATGTTTCATCGCAAATTAAATTTGAAAAAATTCTGTTTTAGTCCATTAAATTTTCCCCATGGTAACTAAATGTGACTCCTCTTCTCCCATACCTGGACCTTTTGTATGTAATGTTTACATTCTGTCTCTGAGTAAATACCTGTCTCCAGAATGACTGGATATGTACTTTCCCGGCATCTAGAAACAGAAACAACTAATCAGCTGATCAGTACTCATAGACGTTTCTGTTAAACTTTATCTGCACTTAAAAATTTGACAGTTTAGGATACATGATAAAGTGGACTGGTCCAAATCCCTTTTACTATCCATGTGGAACTAATTACCTAATATCGTGAGACCTCCATTTTCTCATCTGCAAAATAGGGGTGATAATAATTACCTCATAGTGTTGCAAAGAGGATTCATGTCAAGCAGTTGGCTCAGGGGTAGGAAATGGTAAATTTGATATATGGTACTATTATAATTACTACTAGATTGAGTATAAACCTCAATTTGAGGTCTTTTGCTTTACAAAACAGACCTAGTTTTTGTACAAGAGACTTATTTCTCCTATAAATCAACTATCATATATAGTCTTCCAAGTCTTAGGAAATGAAATTCTTTTCACTTTTAACTACATTTTTCCTTCCCTTTGAATAAATTAGGTAACTTCAAGTTTATTTCACCTTAAATATTATTTTTTTAAGTGGAAATTGCTTTCTAGTATCCTAAGAAGTGGAGTTAAGTACCTGACTACATCTGCACTGACTCATTATACAAGCTGTCTTGTGTTTCTCTCATCAATAAAAATCACAAAGCTCTGTTCCAATTTGAGAGTTAGCTGATGCATGCAAAGAAATTCAATCAATATATATGCATGCACTCTAATGACAAAATAAGTAGCCGAATTGAAAAGGGAAAAGGATGATATATTCCATTTTAACTATGGAAAATATCTTTACACTCTATTATCGGGTACCTCAGGGATAAAAAGCATGTACTTTTTGAAACATAAGAAAAATGACACTTTGGAGGGCCTACAGTATGAGAACATGCTATCAAAAAATCATTCTGTCTTCTGGGAAGAATCTTAAGTAGCAGAGTTTGGGGCTAGACCACAGATGTTGGGTTTAACAGTTAAGGATGGTAGGTCATCTCAGAAAATTATAAAATGCCTCTGCTGAGCTAGTTACAGTAAGATTCCACCTACATATGCACTACTTATCTTCCTACATACTTGAGCATAAGTGACCTGTCAGCAGAGGGTGTCTGTGACAGTTATAAGAAAATGGCCTTACTTGCTTAGACCTGTGCGTGGGTGTTGAACATGGCACTTTAAACATAAATTTATGAGGTGCAAACTTTCAATGCAAAGATGACTCACAAGGTTTCAGAATGTGTAAACATGAAGCACAATCTAACTTATGCCGTCATTGGTGCTCACCCACAGCAAAACTAGCCTGGGTTGATTACCAAATTGTTTGAACTACCTGGAAATTTGCAAAATTTGCCACTCTTATTAAATTGATGAGAAGAAATCTTGGGCTGATTTTTGTGTTTGTGTGGTACTACCATCTTGAACCAGGGTTACTGCATAATTAAGTTATACTTTGCAACATTGTTTGATGGTAACATTCAAATTAACTCTTATTTCTCTTAGTCTGTGAAGAAGTCAATGCTTTTGAGAAGTCACAGTGAAAAACTTTAAAAGAGAAGGCAACTGTGTAACCAAGTAAAAATTAAACAAAGGCAATTTCTCACTGAAGTTTCTGTAATCAGGCAATTAAGAATAAAGTGGACAACGGATAACCAAATATTTCATATGGATGTTGAAATCAAACTAGTATTTTACGTGATTCATTTCCGATGTTCCTTGTTCCAGTTGCTACAAAAATGTCCTAAGAAATTTCTTTAATTGAAGATTAACTGGTAAAGACTAGCCCTTTAATTATTGGATTATTTGAAAGTAAATGATTTAATTGTCAGAAGAATAACCTTGGGAATGGTAACCATGTAAACATGATCAGGAGACCCAGAATTCCATAGCATATTAATATTTAAAAATTTCTGTGGCCCTAAAAGACAGGAAGAATGTGAAAGAATAAAGGAGTGTAATTAACCATTTTTGTAAATGGAACCTATCATTTACTCATAATTCCTTAAAGGTGGTTATTAAAATTTGCTAAACTTATTATTTTTAATTTAAATATGGTGTATTTCTGGATTATAACTTTAATAAATCATGAACTTGAAAAAGTTCTGAATAGCTTTTTTTGGCAAAAAAAAAATCTTCAGTGTTCAAAATTTTTTTCATAGGTTAGTACAAACCGAAACTGGCCAGAGGTGTTAACACTTTATTGCATACTCAAAAAGAAAAACCCTAGCCCAAATGCTTAACTTTTGATCACTTCTATAAAAATTAGGATCACCTTAGAGGGTCAGTAGGGAAAGTTAATGGTAAGGTTTTTGAGATTAAACATATTTGCAATAAAAATACATTTCCAGACATTGGATCATTCTTTTATTAACTTTGGAGATCCACTTGGGAATCTCACTTATGAAGACACCCACAGATTATAAACAATAAAAAAGCTTAGATTCCCTGAATCACCACCCATGCACAGCTGGACCATAAGATGATTTTAAACAGCAACTTCAGTCATATGCTTCGAGTTGCTACAAACACAAAAGTTTCCTCAACTTTAACTTCAGCTATTTACTAACTGAATTCATTTTCTGTAAAAGACCTAGTTTCATTAAACTTTGGTTATTTTTCTTGTGAAGATTGAGTGTAGTATTACGTGAAGTAACAAGCAAAATGGGTATTGTGCCAATAATATATTCAATTTTTTGAGTAGCCAACTGAGCAGACCATGTTAGGAAATTCCTCCCATGCTTATTTAAGTTGAAGTCTTAAGTATGGTCATCTATACTTGTATACAAGGTGCTGGAAATCTCAGAATCACCAAATCCTAAAGCTTTCTTACCCAAGTGATTTTAGTAACAGCAAAAATCACATCCCCTAACGTACCTCCCCCCACCCAAAGGTTCAATGGAACTATTAAATGAATTATAATGCTGGCAAGTAGATCTGATACTCAGCTTCAGAATAAAATTGCAATTAAAAAAAAAGTGGCCTCATCACTATAGCTTTATATCACATCGCACCTGTTAACTGTTCCAGTTCTGGCTGATCTAAAACACATCAAATGGCTTTCTTTCATGCATAAACTGCTTACTAACATAATGGTACTGAACACACAACTCATTCCCAGTAACACACTAAACTTTGTATTTTATCTGAGTGATATCAGTTTCCAGTCAGTTGGGTTCTGAGTTCCCAAAGGGCAAGATTACAGTTCCTATTTCTTCTGTGGTCTTCACCCCAGCACCTAGCACAGAGCTGTGCAAGGTAAAGCTCTTCATCAATTCAAACTTCGCCCACAAAGCTTCATTGATTTTTACCATACATTAACACAATTTCAGATAATTAGCTTGTAATACTTAGAACAAGTCACATTAACTTTACAAATACTAGTGTTTCATAAAACCCTAATGCCCCCCTCCTTCTTAATTTAATTGGTTAGATATGGTGGGTAGATTTTAAACATCTTGAAACTTTTCATAAGAAAAATAATGTAACCCAAACTTCTTCTCAGACAAAACAAAATCAACTGAGCACCTTATCTGCCTGCCAAATAACTTTCTAGAAATGAAGGTAGCTGATGGTAGTGTTAAGTTTTGACATAAGACTCTGGACCCTGACACCCAAGTCCAATTCAGACACAGAGGGGAGGCAGAGTAGGCTAGTGTTACCTACTGTGGAAAGTGTTATGCAGAAAGTTCTATAAACATAAATGTGTGAGGCACAGAAAATCTTTTATTGCCACAGAAAGCAAGTGTACTCGTCCCACCTCACCAACAGCTTAAAGAGTCACAGAAACGCAGACTTCACATAATAAAGTACAACACAGACTTGGGGAAAATGGTCCCTTGGACTATATTGGCTGTAATACTGAGGTAACCAATTGACCTTGTTCAGTGAAAATACCTCTAACACAATGAAAAAAATCAACTAGTTATAACATCCAATCATATATACAATTCAAATAAAAATATATATTATTTGCTTCAATGTATAGCAAGTTTAATACATTAGTGTTTACAAAATAAAAACTGTATTCTACTGAAATTTTTCTTGTGCTTTCTTTCCCCCATCACTAAGTTTGAAAGACCAGAAAAGTATGATACCTAAGGAAACTTATTTATGGATTTAAAGATGCAGTTTGTGGGGTCATGAAAGATGGATAAATATTAATTGGCAGATTACCATATCTTTAAAAACTGTTGCTTCTTAAAATCTACAAACTTGAACTGTAAGACACAATTTAAAAAAACCCACAAAATTTCTCAAAATAGATTAGAATACAAGAAACGTTTCATGAAACTACTGATATACTAACCAGTTCTATGGCTAATATTAAAAACTGAACAATCTATTTAAATCGTACTCATACTATTTCTACACACAGTGAACAAAACAACCACAATAAACAACCTCAAACAAGCAACAACGTTGCAAGGTCCATAAAAAGCTTCTTCAGTGGGCAAAACACTATAATACAATTAAAACATTTAATTTAGGAAGGGGAAAAGCCTTTTAATAGTATAAAAGTTGTTTACTGATGTTTCTACTGTAAAGCTATTCTACAAATCAAAATGAAAAAGCAATTATATAAGTGACAGTGATCAGAGACTACAGTGCAGACATTTCATCTAGTATTTGGCTGATGAATTGTAGTATAATAGGTTTGACTTAATATTTTTACAGTTATAAACTAGAGCAGAACTGAACACAAACAAAAAACCCCCCTCATTTTCCAAGTCAATATGCTGTTCTTGGCAATATCTGGGTTTAAATTAATCTGGAGAAAAGTAGGTAAAGGTCTCAAATATCTTCTCCAACAGCAGAAATGTATGTTGACAGAAGTAGTATTTGCTTTTTTTTCCCCACTGTGAATTCCCATGTAAAATTCTTGTAAACAAGTACATTACTAACATTTATGCACACCCTCATTTATATGCACGCAGCCTATGATTAAATAGGGGGAATTAAAAACATACTTTCAAGTTAACATGAATTCCAAAAAAAAAAAAAACCTGCATTCACAAATCTGGAAGGTGTACAAAAATTAAATTGTAAAATAAATAATGACTACAGGTGTGAACTAAACCGCCACAGAAATATGCCTACAAATGTGGATGTAGTGATTGTCCACACTTGTGATGGTTCAGGTGGGAAGATATTCCCCAGGGAGAACTATTTAGTCTCTCTGACTCCAGTACGTGGAGAGGAATTTCTGGATATAAAACGGTTCTTACTCTATTAAATATTATAGCCTTTTTTAACAGTCACCATCCTTATCACATTTAGGGTAAACTTACTATGTCTTAACCTATTTAACACATTCTGAAGTAGCAATGTTAAAGTCAAAACTTTTACACATCAATCCATTTGTTTCAAGTTCTCTGTCCACGTAATATTTTCCTTGTTTTGTTACTTTTGCGGAGCTATCCTACAACAACCCATATCAACAGCAGCAGAGATTTTCTGCTCTATTGCTCATTCTTTTTAACTTTACTCCACTATTTAATTGTGTAAATGTCTTCACTGATTAAGTCAGTAAAACATTTTACTATTAGAAAGGACACATTTCCTATAAATTCAGTTTTATCAAATATCAAATCCACATTTTCCTTGGTATAAATTGAGTTATTTGCTATTCATTTTTCCAGTCATTGCAACCTTGCCGATAACTACATTACTTAAACTTTCTTTTTTATGACTGCAAAGATTCTAAACGCTGACGTATATTCACGCTAAATACAGGTAAGTAGACAACAAAATTTCAAGTAAAATAAATTGTATCTGCGTCTGGACCAAACAGGTCTCAACATCGAGCTTTTAACTTCTATAAATTACACAAATACATTGTACATTCTTAAATAATGAATGCTTACAATATTAATTTGTAAGCCTTTCCACATGGAACGATTTACACAGGAATGTGAATGGATCAATATTTCTGTTATAGATTGCAACAATCTCTCACTCTTCTATTTTGTGGCTGCTGTTTTGTTTTCCTGGTTTCCACAGACTATTGTATCAGTCCTTACGCTTTGGCTATGAAATCTGTTTGAGCTGAATGAGGCAACATTGGTTATTAAGGCTTATATCTATGATGGAGCATTATCCTTAAATCTGATGCCATTTCCAGAGAATAGTGGGCGAATAACAGCTATCTTGAATCTTCAGGCTCTGTTTTGATGACTTTCTTTTCCAAAGTAAAAGCTGAGTGAGGGTAGTCTTTTAAAATGCCAAGGCTCTCTGCATAAAATGGAAACACAAATTGTATTGATATTTAAATCAATGATTTACAAAAAAAGAAACTCAAACTTATAAAACAAACTCCCATACTCCACAACTAACAGTACTAATTACTCACAATTCTATAATTCCATATAAAGATTTTATGTTCAAGTTATGATTAAGAGCCTGGATTATGGATTTAAATTCCATCTCTGCCAGTTACCACCTGTATTCATCTGTGGGTAAGTTACAGCCCTCTCAAAACCTTTAGTGTCTTCAACTAAAGTGGACATAGTATCACATATGGGGTGAAAGTTAAATCATGAAATGCATGTGAACTACTTTGCATATAAAGTAGTGTTTAATGTTTGGTCCAACAAAATATATAAAACAAAACTGGAGCTTTATCTACACAGAATTACTGCCTAAAATACTATCAATAAAGAAATAGAAAAACATCTTCCATGTTTTTCCAGGTAAAACATGGAACTATTTTAAAGGTTTCTCCAGTCATTAAATATTAATGTGGGAGAAACAGGTATGAAAAAATGAAGACTTTACTTTCATTGGAAATCATCCCTTGGAATTACATGTGTAGTTATTTTAACCTCACAAACACTGCAGAATGACAAGAAAATGCAATGATTATATGAAATACTAGTACTGGAGGACACACACACAACACGTGCATTTGTTTGCATGTGCACACACACACACTTTGAAAAGGATTTTAGAAAGGTAATTGATACTACTTGTCTAAAATTAGGCAGTTCAATCTATGAATTCACCCTCTTTATATAGAAGTGGGATTTTAAATTCTGCTTAAGAAAATTAATAAATAACTACTATTTATTTTCGTTTATCAGTTGTCCTACACTCACACATGTCAACTTGTTTAATCTTCATAACTACCAACTACTATATATTTTAGAAATTTCTATTTTACAGATGAAGATGAAGCAAATGAGCATTGAGACAGTTAAGTAACTCAGTCAAATTTCAGTGCTGAGATCTGGGCCCAATTTTGTTCTGCATGGAATCTATATTATTTCTATGCAATTTAGAAAAAGAAAAGAAAAAAGGGCCTCTCAGGATTTCCTCTGTTCTACATACAATCCTACTTCAACTATACTACTATGTAACTGAGCTACAAAGTGTGGTCCCATGATAGAACACAAATGACCAATGTACTTCATTTACAGAGCTTTTCAAAGGACTATCAATTCTGTGAACTGATAGAAAATGCTGGGTTTATTATCAAAATAGTTTAAAAAAAAAAACCAAACACCAAAACCCTTTTTCATGTTGTAGAAAATGTGACCAGGATGTGATCTTTAGTACAATTTCAATTTCCCAGCCTCTCTTTGGTATTTTTAAAGTGGCTAGAATTATGTATACAATAGCATACTAAGTCAAGGCACAGCATATTTCGGACTTTGGCCTTTTTAGCATCTGCTAGTAGAAGCATGAAACTGAAAGACATAAACTGTCTTGATAACTCTTTGTAATTCACTCTTTATAAATAAAAAGTATAAAATCAGATTTAATTCTAATACTTGTAAAACTACTTTTCTCACAGACTTAGAATATTTCTGGTCTCAGTTTTCTCATCTATAAAATTAGTGACTTGGTCAAGTGATTACTAGAGTTTCTTCAAATCAAAGACTAAAAGATACTAAGACTATTGTTGCTGTGGAGCATTATCCTTAAATATGATGCCATTTCCAGGGGAGAATCACCAGGCTCTGTTTTAGTGACTTTCTTAGTCATGTAATGGTGCTTATCTCATAGTTTGTCTAATTCATTTTACTTGAGTAAAAACATAAACATCTAACTATAATAAGGGACAGCTTCTCCTTTTGTGGAGTTCAGTTTATTTGCGAAATATTAGTACCATCCTCAAAATGCACACGCATAAAGAGTTTAGATTTTGGTATGTGACATTTTCATAGCATGAGGGCAAACAGGTAACCCATCAATTTCAAATTATGAAGGCCAGAAAAAAGCAATTATACAAGTCAAACTAGATAATTTTGTTTAAAATTTTTTTGTAAAAGCCACCATTTTGGGCAAGTTAATCGAAATAATCTCAACCTTCACAAGTTTTTCCTGTCAGTTCTCTGGAATATCATGTTCTCAAAATGCCTGGTTATTATTAGACCAATCTAGCATTTCCAAGGGGAGAAAAACTGACTAGTAACATTGTTGGTACAGAATTTTCTTTTTCTTGGGGGCAGAGGGGTTGTGGGGAGGCAGGAGAAGAAAATTTAAAGATACTTTATTCAAGTGTCACTCTCTTATCCTATCCTACATCCTCACCTGATGAGTGGGACTTTGCCTCACTGGAGTACAGTCTATTCAGCTCCCCATCTACCACAAAATGATGGGGTTGTCTGTTCTGTAAGTTAGACATTCGGAGATTCAAAGGTCTTTCTCCTAATGAAAAGGAAAAATAAAACCAAATATGAACAACATTAAAAACACCCATGTTTTCTCTCAAAATAAATTTTCATACACTGTCTAATCATTCCTTACAAAGGAGTGATGAGGATAAATACACATTGAATAATTTAAATGATGGCTGGAAAATATTTTTTTTTTATTATTTTAATTTAGGAGGAAATTCTTCCAGGACATTTTTTAAAGAGCTAAACATGAATTAAACAAAAGACCGAGTTTCCAGTAAGCTCTCCAACTTTGGCATATAATACAGGCCCCTCTGTAAGGCTTTCTTACTAGTGCAACCATTTCCCCAAGGCATGTCATTAACCACATAATAACAAACACTAGAGAGACAAAGATGGCTTCAAGTCAAATGCCTATTATTTAAAAACAACAAGCAAAAAAATCCTCTGACAATTCCATGGAAAAATAGTTAGCACAGATATGGGGAAAAACTGCTTTATATACCAAACTATATTCTGCCATAGACATAAATCCACCTCACTTAGTAGACTGCTGCCCCACACTAAATTATTCTGGTGTCAAAACTTAGAGACTCATCAAATCTTTCGTTAATGCCTTTGATTGAGTCTGAACTGTTTAAGCATGAGTGGAGGAGTTAAACAAGACCTCAATTAGAAAGTGTCTATAATATTTTAGAAAAAAGAGATGTTGTTTCTTTTAAAATTTTAAAGAGTTTAAGAGAAAAAATTTCTAAGTATACATCACAAAATGTTTTCATAGAGACTGTAGGCCAATGTAAACCCTGAAACAAGTCAAAACTTTTTTGAGTCTCTCCATTCTTAAATTGTCTCTTCAAATCGCTATTCTCTGTCATAATACTTCAGAAGCAGTTACCATATTCTCTTAGGAACCAAATGTTACAAATTTCACATACAAATCTGTTTTTGAAGTCTAAAAAAATATGCAATGTTGATCTGCAGCTTTCAGTGGAGGAGGGGGGTATGGAGAAGGAAAGCTGTTGGGGTGAGGGTCACTACAATGGACTTTGGTGGAAGACCACTGGCATTTCAGTGGTGGGAGTGTTATGGTGACTACAATGTAGGGGGGAAATCCTAGACTGTCAAAACACTAGCAAGGATGTAAAACAGTATTTCCCATGGAATCCATTCCTTTGGGGAAAATGACCTGTACTATTTCCATCTCCCATTCCTAGCGAGCCTTTACAGAAGGCATGCCAATAACAGGCACCAGCTACTGTTTACGAGTAACAAGTTTAAAAGAAAAGTTTCTCAAATTAAATCTGCAGGATGAATTCTTTCCTTAGAAAAAAAGTATAATTTGAAAATTAATTTTGATAGGGAACTTATGAAATAATCTCTACAAAATATGAGATTTAAAAATCAGTACTTTTTTTTTTTCTCTTTGAAGTACACATAGTAGTAGGCTGAGAAGATGCAGTCATTGTAAAGATATGTACCTTGACCATCAGAGTTATCAGAAGTCAAGCCATTAGGGCTGTGCTCTTCCGAGCTCTGCCTGTAAAGTCCTGCAGACAGTCTTCTTTCAGTATGCTGCAGTCTCTCATAACCAGTTTGGGTGCAAAGGAACTCCATCTGCTTTGCCATCACCTTTTCAGGCTGCTAGTAAGTAAAGCAAAAATAAAATCAGTAACTAAAATATTCTAGATTTTTTAATGGCTTAAAGATGCCAATTTCAGACTCCAGCAATATATTTAGTATTCATTAAAATTAGTTCACACTTCATGTGTTATACACGTTCCATAAATATGCATAGATGTCTATATCATCATGTTAAAACAAAAAATGCTGGATTTTATACAAAAGAAAAAACCATTCTGCTCCATCCTATGAAGAGTATTTAATTTCAGCTCAAAAGCAAAATAACCTTTGCTTTGTTTTCCAAGGTACTGAGTGCTTTAAAAGACTTTTTTTTAAAAAAAGGAACCTCAGAGCAACAGCAACATCTGCTATAAAGTGCTTCTAACACATAGGGTGAAATCTTGGCATTTTTATTTTAGGATTTGGCACTACACAGACTCTGATATGATGACAGTATGTTTGGGGGAGAAAAGGTGTAAAACGGCTGTCTAGAAGAACAAGACAAACACACCTCCCACTAAAACTAAACAATGCAAATTATGCAGAAAAACATCAGTGCCAAGGAGGATCTTCACCTTCATCACGAAATGAAACTGCAGTATTTGCCAACCAATCATAAAAAGACATGTTTTAAAATACACAATTAGTTGGCTGACATATTCATTTATCACTGCATGTGTTTTTAAATCCCATCTTTATGCACTGCTCTACATTACTTATATGGATATTCAAAGCAGTGTATTTATGTTATTTTGCCAAGGAGATAATAGTCAGAATGCAGACATGAATCACTACCATGCTATATAAAAGAGTAGTATAAGAAATTCATTACAAGAAATTCTGATTCACAATAGTAAATATCAATATGTGAAATTAACTCATAGAATAGAATATAAGCTTGATTTTCTGAATAAACTACACCAGAACAAAGGAACCATCACGTCAATTCACTTAACTTGTTACTAATTAATTGTTACCATTTCAGAAAGATTTTTGAAGAGTAAATGTAGTCTGTATTCTCTGAACACGATGAAACAAAAGTTGACACTACTAAATTTGACCACAAGCAATCGCTAAGGAGACAATCAACAACATAAAACTTACGGTGCTTTCTTAAAGGTGATGCTTGCAAAAATGATTTTTAAAAATGTTAATTTCAGTGTACACAATTACCTTGATAGCAAAAGTACCTGAATGAAGCTACATAATTTATTTTTCATTATACATGAACTGAAATGATTTAACAACAGTCACAATGCTGACAATTAATATTTTATTGAGAACCAGGACAGTTTTATCTCAGAGTTGTATTACACAGTTATAATCAACATGGCTGTTTTTCTGCTAACAAATTACTTGTTTGAGTTTTCATAATTACAGAATCTGCTTACTTCCTATAAAGAAGAAAGAAGCTGTACTATATCAGACTCTTCTCATAAATAAACCAAATCAAACCAAGTTGTTATTGCTATCTTATTGATATATCTGAGGTTCAGATATTTTAAAACAACCAGAGATAAATTTAGTTCTTGAATATTTAAAAACTGATGCCAGTTGAAGCAGCCATTTATTTTTAAACCTACAGACATTATGAAATACTAACTGGTTACCTGAGCACTAAGAGCAGCGAGTTCTTCACTCTTAGCTTTAGCCTGCTGGAAGAGAGTTTGCACAGAGTCCTGAAAATCTGGAAACCCATCCTGTTGGTCAAAGAATACGCTTTTACTTAGAGTTTATAAATTAAATAATCACACTACCAAAAAATTAGAAAATAAAGTCAAACACCTTAATTACAATTAAGATTTTAATGTGCATTATTTCCTGTTATGGAAATAATTGTCTTTTATGTCTTTCATTATTGTCTTTTATGGTACAATTACTTTATTTCTATGGTTGAAGCCTCAGTAAAAAGGCTAATGCAGAATTAAAAGATCATACTTCCAGTGTTTTACATTGGAATGCAGACTTCATGATCATTGATAACAGTTATCTAACATTTCATGTAACATTTTATCTAGTGGTTCAACTATTTAACCACTATCTTTTTACTGGATATTTAATTCTTTTCCTTATTTTTGGTATTAAGAAAAAACATTACAAAATATTTTAGTGGAAATACCATTTCCCACAGTGTGGGTTATCCAATACACAGAATCCCAGAAATAAAATAATTGCAAAGGGATGAACACGTTTGTGTCTTTCACATATTTTCCCCAAGGGCCTTTACTGGTTTAGCGATAACGCGTAAGTAAGCAACATGACAGTTACCTTGCCGAAACTGCATGATGTTGTTTTCTTAATTTCATCAATTTATATTTTTGTATTAATATTCAAACAGATTTCAAATTTTGCATATGGTAGTTGTATATACTTATACTTTAATTTTGCAATATCGTCTATGACCATAAGGTTTAGAAAGATACTAGAGATATTTGGTAAGAACTCAAAACTACCCTCTAGATTTTTCTAAAGGTTTTATTTTGCTATTTGTTCTTCAAATTTTACTCTCTAACCCATCTAGAATTTATGAATTGTTGTATGTAATGAGGTCAAGATCCAAAGTTAATTTTCTTTAAAGTGCTACCTGATAATCCCAGCTGACTTGTGATTCCTTATATAAAAAATAAAAGTAAGAGAATTCATCTATTAGGGTAGTTGTGAAGACCAAATGAGATAAAGAGATGCCTTCAGCATCTAATAACTGCTAAATAATAACATCTATATCTGCTAAATTTTTAAATTAAAGAGAGACTATTTGGGATACTCTACTTCCTGGAGAACACTTCAACTTAAATTATTCCCATTTTATAATTTAGATATATTAGTGCTGGGCCTCCCCGGTGGCTCAGCGGGTTGCGCGCCCCGCTGTGAAGCTATCTGCAGTCTCTGCAGTGCGGGTTCTATTCCCAGCCGGCCAGGGAGCAACCCATATGGCGCAGCAGACGTCTCCTGCCTCGCCCGCTGCTCCCCTCAGCAGTGTCTTTGGTCCGTCTGCCTGTTCTGCTCCCCACTTTGTCTCTGATGAATTCTCTCACCCTCCCGTGCCTCTGACCTGTATCCCAGTTCTTGTATAAATAAATAAATCTTTAAAAATAGATATATTAGTGCCTATCCACCTATTACTTTTTTTCAAGGTTTATTTTTTCCACCATTTATTACTCCACATGAAGTTGACATCGACAAATATGTTAGATAACCATGATGGTATGGTTTTGGTAACTTTACTAGTGGAGTTACTTTACTAAACTACTAGTGGATTCCTTGCAGAAACTGTCATTACCCTCCAAACATTTCTCCCCTTGTTGATAAGCTCTGTATCTGTAGCACAGGGTGCATCATTAAAAATCAATGTTCTCACAACAGCACAGCAGAAGAAAGATGTAATAACAACGTATTCTACTACTGTGTTTGAAAAAACTGGTTTAAAAATTTTTCTCCATCAGTATCTTTTAAAAAAATTATTTCTCAGGGCCTCCCTGGTCATGCAAGGGGTTAAGTCGTAGCACTATGAAGCTATCCACAGCCACTGCAGCACTGCACAAGTTCGATCCCTGGCTGGCCAGGGAGCTAACCCACAAGGTGCAACAGACCTCTCCTGTCTCACCCACTGCTCCCCTCAGCAGTGTATTTCAGTTAATCTGCCTAATCTGTTCCCCACTCTGTCTCTGGTGAATCCTCTCACCACCCCCCATACCTCTGGCCTGTACCCAGTTCTTGTATGCATAAACAAACAAATCTTTAAAAAAAATTACTTCTCTACTTTAGATGGCATGTTTTCAAATACTTCACCTACCAAAATTCATTTCCTAAATAATTTGCTACTTTTTAAATTCAAAGACATGAAATAATTAGTCAAGAGCAAACAAAATTGACAACTTAGTCTTATGTAGCTTTATGGTGAGTTAATATACAATGGGCACTTTTAAAGTAGTGAAACTGACCACCTTCCTAGGTTCTTACAAGACTGAGGACCCTGGGCTTAGAGAAATGCATGGAATATAACCATTAAGGGAACTACAATGAGTTTTATACAAGCATATACAATCTAAATCTGAATAAAGTGTTATTTTTCTTAGTCTTTCCATTTTTCTTTTAAGTGTTTAGCCCAAAAAGCCCAATGTTCTCTTTAGCAAACTCTCCTAGTTCAATGAGGTAAGCTAGTAGATGACTTAGAAAACAACAGTATAAGCAGCTATCATTTTGCAGGTATCTACAATATACCAGTTCCTGACAATGCTTGATAGTTTATGTAAATTACCTCATTTAATTCCCATAACAAACCACCCTGATTTTCCCTCATTTTATAACTACAGACACTGGCCTCTAAGTCTATGCTCAAACCATAAAACCCTAGCATTACTGCTACCTTAATACAATTCAACAGAAAATAGAAGCATTTTTCTTATAGCTCTGTTTTTCTTTTTCATGAAGATTTATTTACTTATGCATACAAGAACTGGGGTATAGGCCAGAGGTGTGAAGGGTGAGAGGATTCATCAGAGACAGAGTAGGGAACAGAACAGTCAGATTGACTGAATACACTGCTGAGGAGAGCAGTGGGCAAGTCAGGAGAGGTCTGCTGTGCCATGTGGGTCTCTTCTCTGGCTGGGGATAGAACTCGTGCTGCAGTGGCTGCTGATAGCTTCACAGGTTGTATCCTAACCCCTTGCGCCACCAGGGTGGCCCCCAGCTCTGTTTTTCTTAAGCTGATCTGACTTCAACTCTGTGATTTGAGCTAAGTTCACAATTCACTTCTACTATTAATTTGCTGTGATACTGGACAGACTATTTTATCTCTCTTTTTCCTACTCTGTAAAACAGGCATGACAACAGTTCCCAGCTAACTTTAGAACCATTCCAAGGAAGCAAGAAATTCATGAGAAACACTAAACACAGTGCTTGGCACACAGAAATTCCCCAATAAATGTTCATTATTAAGCTTGCCCAAAAGCCACTAGATTTAATCAGAGTAAAACAGATAAATGCTGTAGGTGACTTACTTATTTCTATGATTGGAAGAATAAAATAAACCTTACAGATATTTACAAAGTATCTTAGCGAACGAGTAAAGTAGACATTTAGATTAAAACCAGCAAGAGAATACTGACTATAGTGGTGGGGAAATGAAGAACAATGGAAATCGGGAAACAAAAATACCTTGCTCGCCTAACAGGTTCTACACTTTATAGCCAATACACAATTAAGGAAACAATGAGTATCCTGCCTTCCTAACAAATGCAGTCTAGAGAGGTAAATGGACAAAGAGATCCAGAGCACAGCAGAGAACATGACATTAAGAAAACTTCCCAAAGAGTACACTGAGACTTGAAATAAGGGTTCTCCATGGAAAGAGAGGAGCTTATATAAAGGCCTAGAGGCAAAAATAAGATATACTTGAGAAGCTGGAAAGTAATGTAGCTAACATAGGAAATTTACTGAGAAAGAGGAGTGTTAAGAAAAGTAGAATACACAGGACCAGATCCTGTGAGGACTTGGAAATCAGATTAAGAATTTAAGATTTTATCTTAAATACAAAGAGAAGCCACTGAAGGTTTTAGGGAAGAGGCTAATAAATCAGATCTGCATTTTACAGAAAGCCCAGTCTGAATGTAATGGAGATAATATGTTGGGGGGCAAGGTTCAAAGTTGGTCTCAGTGACATGGTTAGAAAGCTATGGTGGGGCCTCCCCGGTGGCGCAGCGGTTGAGCGCTGGGTTGCGAAGCTGACCACAGGCCCTGCAGCGCCGGTTCGATCCCCGGCTGCTCCCCGGCCACCAGAGGGTCCCACATGGCGCGCAGACTTCTCCTGCCGCCTGCTGCTCCCCTCAGCAGTGTACTCCAGTCCTTCTGCCTTCTCTGCTCCCAGCTCTGGCTCTGGTGAATTCTCTCACCCTACCGCGATTCTGACTGTACCCAATGCTTGTATAAATAAATAAATAAATTAAAAAAAAAAAAAAAAGAAAGCTATGGTGAAGGCAGAAAACAGTGGCCTGGCCCTGGACAGCAGCAGATACCAAAGAAATACATGAATTCTTGAGCTATGGCTTTGGCAACAGGGAATTTGGTGATAATAGTCACTAAAACAAGGAATCAGGACCAAGAGGTCTGAGGAGGGAGTAGAAAGCTGATGAATTTAGTTGGAGACATTTCCAGACAGACCTAGTGGTGAGATGTCCGTATTGATAAGCTCAGTACACAGGTACTCAGATTCTGGAGCCTAGGGCAAGATCAGGGCTGAAGAACCAGACTGGAGAGTTCCAATTCATCAACAAGCCTTGAATCCAGTGTGCCCATCTGGAACCTCCAGTATCTCAATATAGTTTTTGAAGGGGATTACCAAAGGAGAAAGTGGGGATCTAATATTCTCATTTTCAGAAGTAGATGTGAGGTCTCAGACAGGAAAGTTAACCTCATTATTTCTAGAGTTGCCAATTTTTAAGGGCGATGAAACCATTTCCTTTACCTGTCCTAATGGAGATCTCTGAGTGTTAAATGAAGGAACGCAAATGATAAATCTTGGGGAAAAAACACTTTCCTATACAAATAAATGGTGCCACCATTGTCAGGATTACTTAACTATGAAAATATTGAAAAGCTGGAAGGTAAAGTTTCAAACTCTGCATGTGAAAGTTTCTGGAATATGGACACTGCTTCATCATTAATGAGAAATAAAAGCACACAATAAGTAATAAATCACAAT